ATCTATGTATCTATCTATCTATCTATCTATTGGGATTAGTTATGATCATACAGATCCAGAAACAACCTGTATGTGCCGGAGATTCGGACATTTATTTACTTAGATTTTTCAGTATATTGCGGAACATCAGTCTGTAATAATAAGGGAAGGAGTAAAATAAAATAAAATACACAATTAGTAATGAAATTATTTTAAAGTCACTACTTCAAGAATTTTCATTCATTACAGGCTGTAGCGTTCCCCAGATTGACGGAGGAGCACGGTCTAATAAATGAAACACAGATGATACCATTTATGAATTTAAAAGTCATGAATCACCAAACACAGAAGGGTTAGTGAGATCGTCAATAACATCAATCAAGTCAGATAGATGTCAGTGTACCGTGTTATCAACAGTAACATTTCGAAGCAGCAGACCCATATCGAGACACCCAATATCTTGAAGAGAATGAACTTACCACTAGTCCCTCCAAATCATCTTGCGCGAATGCTCCATGGGTCCCCGTGGGTGAAACTGGGGACATAGGCGTGCCAAGTTGACCAGGTGATAAAATTGCGGTACCTGCGGGCACGGACGGAGTAGCGAGTCCCAACGTATCTGGCGCAAGGACATTTGATTGTATTCCCGCGGTGCCACCACTCAATAAACTGCCTTGTGCACCCGAAAAAGCACCAGCAGTACCCGAGATCAAGCTTCCCGAACCAGCACTGCCTTGACCTGTCTGACCGGCAGATGTCAAGTTCTGGTTATGTGTACCGCTTCGTTTACTACCCGCAAGACTGCTTCCTCCGCCACTGGCCATAGACCCTCCCGCTTGAAATTTAGGTGAACAAGATTGGTGACCATCAACAGATCTCAGGTACAAAGTGTATAAACTTACATGGATAATGATAGGATATAAATAATTGTCATACGGGGTAATGGAATCACACAGTTGTGACTTAAAATGACGAATCTAGGGCTGTAGCTTATTAGTGACAATCCTGGCGATAAATAAATAACACAACAGTACGAATCACATGGATCATTCACCCAGATATGAGGTTTATTGAATTAGAGTACAGAATGATTCATTGCCATAAAGCTAAACGTAATTATCACTGAGGATACCCACTGATTGAAGATCATATTACTCAAACAGAAGGCGGTTGGAAAGTAACTGAAAACAAAAAGTGAGGTAAAAGTAATATTAAAATGTCCACCAAATGATACACTTATCAAAAGTACCATACTCCACGAAACCGAAAACAATCAAGAATGTATTTCAATAAATTAAAAATAGATACTTGTCTGCTGAAAACACAAAAGGGACAACAAATGTTCCAAGTGATACTAACCTCCACCACCCAAGGTAGAACCAATATCGGGACTGGCATCACGTGATTTCCCTTTCTTGAACATATTGCCCAATCGGGTTTTTTTAACTCTGCGGTCACGAATTTCCAAATTTGATGAAGTCATATCCTGCAATAGACATTTGCTTTATAGGATTACTTTCGCCATAGTACTCGGCACATATAAGCATTTAAGCATACAATTCTGTATCATTTGATAGTAAAACGAATGTTGGTGCAACCCTCTCTCAGTACAGATAGTTAAGTAATTCGGCTAAATAGTTGCGGAAAATCAACAAAAGTGGATAGGACAAACCGCCCATAAAGCCCTGTTTAATGAAAAAATACCTGACTTTCTGTGTTTTCGGGTTTCGGATTATGGTACCCAAATATTTGGACTTAGTTTATGCATGCCAGTTGGCCCGAATGACTGAACGGTCAACATTTCCATATTTTTTAACAGATTGACCGGTACAAGTGATTAAGGAAAATTTATTTGACGTAGTATATATGAAGGTATTTTACAGGAATACTCACCGCACAATAATTGAATACCACTAAACGTCGTGAGTTGGATCAACTACTGAGAAAGTTCGGCAGACATCTATCGTGGTTAGTAATATTTACGGTGAGTAATCCAAGGGAAAGCGTACTACGAACAGAATAACTGATAAACGCGCAGCGATAAGGCAAAGTGTATGTATCTCGTCCTCTGGACTAAGAATAAAAAATTGCCTAAGTGGTTGGTTGGGGATAATAGAAAACATTAAAATAAACCGTTGACAAGGCAAGTTACTTTGTTTGAAGGGATAAATCTATATAATAGGGCTCTGCACTGCATTCAATTCAGCCTGTATTTTATCTTTTTTTGAGGAAACCCACCCACAGTGATAGAATAAGCTCCGAAGGATCCTGAGCTCAAACAGCTGTAAATAAGGTCACCCCATAGAAAATATACAGAAAAGGGAATTATCAAATAGGTTCGAGAGAGAAGAGGTTCACTAATGTTATGTTAGATGTTTATATTGACATCGATGAGGCAGGAATAAAATCAATTATCGTATCAGTGCACAATGTGAGAGCGATATTTTATCAATAATTAGACGGAATAAATGAACATCAATGACATATGAAAATCAGGTCGGAAATAAAGTGATGTTGAATGAGAAACTCACATGTCCCATAAGATTTAAGTTCGTGGAATCACCGGGCACAGAATGTGGAGTGACTGAAGCTAATTCCGGTTCTACGTGTCGGCGCAACGAGTCTAAATAGGTGTGACGTTCTTTCAGTGTTCTGGAATTAACATGGAAGTGCCATCATTAGTCTAAGATAGTCATACTTTTTTGGAATGTGATATATATATGTATATATTATAATATATATACCGCTCTAAGCAATTAATTGATCATTTATAAAGCAAAGAAAAATTATCGTATGAATAAGTTTCGATGACCAACTTTAACACGCAACTTTCATATCCGTTACCAAGTATCTGTTACCGCTGCTGGTCATCACTCCCAGAACAAAATTAATGGCCGGTTTAATAATGCCAACTGTCTTATTACAAATCTTTTCTCCGCAAAATGTGCATAAATTTGGTCACGAAATAGTAGACTAATGGACGTGATGAACAACAAAGCTGAAGCCTAAATTTTTATTTGCCTATTTGAGTATACATATTGTTTTAATTGTACTAGGAATACATCATAGCATAAGACTTAAGAAACACTGAAGGTATTACAAACGAGGAGTACTTACTTTGTTGTGAACTGCTCCTTGCATCGTGTGGCTAGACTGAGGCGTAAGAAATGTGTTTCTTCTGAGGCAGTATGATCGGCCTGCTTACCGATCACTTTGAAGCACGGTGTGCTAAAATGAGCAATACGAATTGCGAAAGAACAAATAGTCAGAAGAAACATTAGAAGCAGGAAGAAATTTTTCCTCATTCCGAATGAATAAATTCTAAAAATAGGAACGTGTACGATACATGAGTGGGTTTTGTCATTGTATCCAACAAAAGGTTGTAGATAGATGTAGGCAAACAACGGTAAACCGATATAACTTCACGAGTATAGATAGAACTAGCAAAAATACTCAAAATGTTATATATGTTACCCTTTCGAATTAGATAGTCTTTGCATTTTTAAGATATTCTTAAAACAGTAAAATGCGGTCATTTTCACTTTTGTCTCCAGGTAGGCAACTGAATGTCAACGCAATAAAGTCCGACTCCTAAACTTTAGTCTATTCGTAAACACTAGCGCAGAATGGAAACAATTTGCACACATCAAATAAACTTTCTGGTTCGTTCTATCAATCGGGCTGGTTCACGCTAATAACTTGGATATATGCAGTAGACAAAAATGCAGATGATTATAACAGCAGCATCTCAGCTTGAAAAATAATAATTGCACACAACAATCTAACCCAGTAAATTACTTACGTGCCGCTAGATAAAGTCACTTCAAGCGTAGGGTGTTTGGAGTCGATGTCCATGAAAAGTGATGCGTCATCGCGAACGTACCAAATTGGCATTGGTCGGCACATGTTACTGTAAACATAAGCATATGTGTATGCGTCACAGGCATTTTGATGGCAATTTAATTTGGTTTAGTTTCGCACATGATGAGAGCGAGTTTCACTAGTGGAAGAAAGTACAGAGTAGCGAACAAACTCGTTTGCGATGATTCTTCTACAGGCTAATGCATCAAAATTTATAAAAATGTATAGTAGAGGGGGGGGAGAAATAATGACAAGTTGGAAAAGAAATAATCAACATTCCAGTTCGACGCCCGGATGTTGCTCACACTTTGGTCCTCACACATGCGCACTGGTTTAGGTAGAGGTGGGTGGTAGGAAGGCTGTGTCGTGTGTGGTTTTGACCATGGAAGACCGAGTGTTCTTACGAATGTTTTTTGCGAGTATAGCGGGAGGGGATTATGTAGGCGAATTCCGATCGCTTCCACTATCCTATAAATGTATGTTGAATTGGGTGACTGATCTTTATATATGCACCACGGAAAAGTGTTTGAAACCATCGAAATAAGCAGCTAGTTCTACTTATGTGAAAAGAATCCCAAAGAACCGTAATATATCCAAACATCTAAAATGCTCAGCATGGAATCAATAACCCTTGTCCTAGTAGTTTTTGCAAGGGATATCGAACAAAGCTATGTGGGTAGTGAAACCATCCAAAAGGCATGCTACCAACCAGCCTCCACACAAAATTAGATCATCCGCATAGTCTGAGTTAGACAGTTCACCGCTCAGGAACAACACAATATGGCCACTGAGTATGCGTGGTTAATGCGATAGCAACATTCGAGTTTCTAAAACCACTCACACTGCAAAGACCAAGTAAATATCGAAGACAAACACCTGGTATTTAAAGCTATTTTGGTGTTAACCATGTATTTATCTTGGAATTAAAGGGGTTACTTTTTTGCGGTTTTTAGAAATATTGTTAAAGCTAAGAAAAAGAATCGCCACTACATGTTGTTTAATCGTGTGGACAAAAATTACACAAGAACTAACCGGTAAGCCCGTAAGAGGATCTTGTTCTTAAGGAACAGTATACATGGAGTACTGAGTGTTTAACGAAATAGAAAACAAGTTCTGAACGACAGAATTTGAAGTCCAAATAGATAGCCATCATTGAAATCGCCTTTTTCTTAAGTACAGTTTAATAATAATAACACATTATACTTAGAATAAAACACAAATGATTGTGTAAAGTGTTTTGATACCTCTATGAAATGCAATTGAAGACACTAAGACTGCATGGACTATTTGTGGTGAAAGATCACTCACACGCAGATTGGTTTATAGCCTTCCTGCAATCCACAGTAGGTGAAGAACTTAAGTGTTTGTACATCATTTCCAAAGTTTACTTTAACTTGCTGTCCCGAACCAAGTGTGTAAGAAGGAACGTAACCTACAAATTGGGAGAATGCAAAAAGGAATGGAAAGTGCAGTAGAGGATATTCGTTACGTAACAATAAAGAACAGTAAGATGAGCCGCAACACGCTCGTGTGCGAAACACCAAAAGAAGTTAGTTCACTACACAGTTCCTGAGTTACGTTATCAGTGTTTTACTTCTATCGGCCTTGGTTCTACCATTCTGAAAAAGTTGCCAACAACTTTTGTTAAAGTTTTTAAATGTTCTTACTTTTTATTTGCATTCTGACATAAACGGGCCTCACATTCATCTCAGAAGCAAGATTCTCACTTGTCAAATTTCCAGAAAAATCTTTCGAAACATGATCACAACAGACATTAGTACCAAAACTATAATTTTCTATTCAGTTAGATACATATAAACAACAGTGGAAGTAACTCATTCAAGCTAGTCCTATTCATAGTGGTAATAGTTAGTAATATAGAAATATAAATGAAATCAGTACAATATTTAGCAGCGGTGAGTAAATTGGCAAGTTAAAATAGTGTTTTCTACGGTGTTGCTCACCTTCATCAACTTTAATATGCTTAAATGCCGTTTCCAAACCCAAGGGATCCATCATCAGCTCTCCATTGAGTGAAAAAGCTATGAAGAGAAATTGTAGTGATTCGGGGATGGGTTGGTGAGAGTTAGAGAAATTGCTGGGTACCCTGAAGTCCACAGGCTTTTGATCGCATACAGAAACATTCATGATCATGAAATGGATTAAGGCAAGTGTACCGGCAGGTGTGTTTTGCCTTGAAGAGAGCACTAACGTAAGTACAAGAAACGTCAAAGACTATATAAAAAAGATTGATACACAGATTTAAATTTTTAACTTTAACATCGATTCCAGGCGCAGTCTGGTGAATTCCATAAATATGTATATTGTCGACTTGCAAACAAGTATAGTGTTAGCGCAGCAACAAGAATAACAGAGAACAAAGAGATTGGGATACAAAACATTGAGATGGGGGTTGCAATACTCAACTAAATAGAACTGAAAGAACAACAATACGCCTGGACTTCAGTTAAACAGTCTTATTTGTAAATAGCAGTTACTATTGGGATGGAAGGCAGTACAAAGAGAGTCCTGGTTAGCGAGCGAATCAAGAATGGGACTCATCCGACCAGACGCGTAGACGCAGCGGCGGGAAGTGCCTCGCAAGACAATGTTAACTGCCACCCGAAACGAGCGAATCGACAATTACGGCCCGACAGACAATCCGCAGCTAACGGAAAAGATACCCACCGAATGCCACAACGTCGGAGCTGTCGATCAACGCATCTCGCGCCGCGATCGGGTCAAACCAGTCGGAATGGCACGCGAAAGAAGAAGCAACCTACGTGCCAAGTGCGGACCAAAACCAACAAGGAATGACCCACAGAAAGAGGCTTGAATCATCCCGCCGTGCGGCTGGGAATTGACTGTTTAATCGAACACATACACTGTTTGCTTTTGAATTGAATCAACAGACGTTTTTCCCAGCTAGCTCGCCTTCTCGCTACACTATGATTATCTTGAACAATTAAACTGTAGAAAGAACGGGAAGACGTTGCTCAGAGATTTCCAATATTCATACACTTTATATAGAATTAAGCATTTGATGGTTCATTAAGAAAACTGAGATCAACAGCGATCACACTAAAACAGCCCATTTGTTCCTTTTTTGTTCCAAACGTCACTTACGCTAGCATCGACGTTTTCGCTCCACGAAGTTCCGTAAATCTTACCATCCATACAGTAGTCGAATTCGGGTTGTGTTCCAGTGCCTTTTTTATCGATGGTAGTATCGAACACTGGAATTCTGTTATATCAAATCAAATATGGATTGAATTGCTAAGTGTATGATACTTCAAAAATGCGGGAACAATTATTACTCTCAGATAGTAAGGTACAACGGTCAATTCTCAACAGGATATATATATATATATATGTAATTTACGCAGTCGTAATAGTATGAACGTACTTATTGTATTATCAACCAGATCCAGCATACAACCGATTACATCTCCCGGTCGACAAACACTCCCGTATGTTGTCCCCACTCGGTGCCATTTACGAGCCTAAAAGAGCAGAGAAAAATAATGCACCTAGATAAAAGTGTAGAATGATTCATTTCTACAGTGATAAGTTTGGTATGTTATTTCATAAAATTTCTCAGAAAAAGTAGAAGATAGGAGTGAGCCCCCCCCCCTTTTGAATTTCATCAGTTAAATCAGAACTATAAACCAGGTTACTTCCGACTTGTCTAATTGTTATGAAGTATTTCTTGTGACTTGTCACGTTTGATGAACCATACAACGGACTAGACTAATAGAGTTGCATAGTGACTGACGAAAAGGATTCGGAGAACGATTCACTACTACCTTGACAGTGGCCAGGCTCTGAAAGCCTCAATATAGTCATGAACTGCTGTATTGGATTGAATGATTGCTCTTCCTCTACATCTCGCGAAATACTCATAGGCGATCAAGCGTCTAAAACTTTCCTACTGGGGGAGCCACTCTCACTGCCTTCATGTTGGTGTGGAGTTTCTCCACCAGTACTAGAGAACAAAAAGCCAACATCAGAGAGCTCTAACTTGGTAGGTGAATCACTGGAGTTGGTTAAAAATCATGATTGCCAAACAGCAAAGAGACGCGCAAACCTTATATACCTTCCTGGTTCTAGTAGTGGTCTTCGGCTTGAGTGAGCGTCGAGGTGTACACCTGGGACATTTGATCCCATGCAGAAGACATATGACCTGAGGAACTGGACAACGGCCCCAGTGATGAGTTTACCCCACAGCAACCAGCTGCTTTGTCTAGCATAAAGCTTTCTATGTGGATTCCCTAAGAAGCATTGCCTGCTTTGGTGTGGGTAACCTACATTTATTCTAACACAGAAAATCATGGACTGATTCTTTATTTAAATAATTGTTCAACCATTACTTCTTTGAAACACCCTGAAATCAGACACGTAAATGATATGAACGTGATGACAGCGTCCAAAACAAAGTACTCACAGTCAATGACAAACAAAGTGATCGACAATGAAGTAGTGTTATGCTCACAAATGCACAAAATTTTCAGTTTACCTGGTGCGCAGCAAACGCATACGAGCCACTGGTTGAACCTATAATGGCATCTGGAGGCGCAGACTTCCTTGCCCACCCAACGCGCACAAAGCCTGACGTCAGAATTTCAACCTCGTAATACCTAAGAGAAAAAGAAGTGCAATGGAAGAAATCGCAGATGGGTTCTTGACGGCTGTGAACCCTAATTGTGAATTAGGAGAATAAATTCATGCCAAGGCAGCATGCTAACCAGCAAGAAGAGACTACAGTAGCGTGCATACGTTGATCTCAAGTAGCCAGGATGAGTGTTCGGTATACTCACCACTTGCCGCGTGTAACAGCACGTGTAGCCTGGCCACGGTATGTTCTTGTCGGCCCAGTGTAGTCACCGGTGCTACCTCGGGCTATAAATTGAATCATACTAATTAGCCAAGAAGTGATTTTCTACTCGTCTTTAAAGAAGTATGAATATCAAGGGGATCAGTTCAATCGGGAAATCACCCAGAAAATTCCACTTATGAGTAGTTTTGTAATCTTAAATGACATTTCATAACTTACTTGCATCAGACGAGTCTGTACTCCCCAGTTCCACGGAATAGCCATAAGCTAAGAGTGTCTTTACTGTCTCAATCGCAGTTTCACTGTGGGTACAAAAAAGAAATTATGTATAAATAGGCAGAGCGGGAAAATCATGACAGTAACAAAAATGAACGTATACCCACAAGTGTCATTTGAATTACATGGTTATAACGTAAAACCGATTTTAGAGGCCTGCCCAAGAGTCTCTTAGGCCAATTTAAATTTATAGTTTTGCACTCAATGATTTAATTTTCATTGGCAGTGATGATTTTTG